CATCTCAGTTTCAGAGATGTGGAAACTCAGGCACAGCAAGGTGAAACATGTCTTGTCCAAGGTCGTGTACATATAAGACTTGCCTCCTGCTCTTTGAGTGTAAAGGTCTCCTTCCTCTTGTACATAAGTACTGCAGATTCGGCTAAGGGAGTTCATATTAAATAATTAAATGCTTTATGTAAGAAGCTGTTTCAAAGGCTGTTTTAAAATTTTCTGTACAGATGTTTGCAGAAACTTGGTCTGATATAGGAGAGGTATTCACGTTAAACACGCTTATGTGGTGTCCACATACAAGCTCCTTCAGGTGTATAGAGGGGAGCTATATAATTGTAAATTGCTGTGTGTAGCTAAAGGCAAGCTGTTTATGACAAAATGAGCAAGAGCAACTTTGTTGCAAGGATTCCCCTTATAAAGATAAATATTTCAATAAATATTTCTGACTCTGTTGTGCAGTGTTCAAAAGACCATTCTTTCCTGTTCAGAATCTTTGTCTGCCTGTTTAATTCAGATAAATGCTTTTGCTATAACTTGGAATTTATCTAATAACGACATAGTGTTATCATTCGCTAGTGCTGCACTCCTGTTGATATCATCTCTGTAGCTTTCTGCTAGCAAATCTGTAATTGCACATATTATGTTGCTGTGATCCTTTTCCATCACTTTAAACGGATGCTAATCACTGCATCTTGTGCAGAATTTTGTGACATTTTCAGACTTAACATCTAGATAATTTTGTTCTAGGTAGTCCATTGGCAAAGTCCACACATGCATGCCTACTTTCCAGCTCTTACTTCCTGGCCTTCACTCCTTGGAGATATGTTGGCTGATGCAATTAACTGCTTGGGATTCACATGGGTAATTTTTTGTTGTTGTTATTTTAGATATTCATCTACTGTGTGTATTATGCAGGAGCAGGTCATAGTCAGTCTTTCTTGTTCTGTGAGTCAGTATAATTTACTTTAACCAATTGTGTGTCATTTGCATAAATGAAAAATGTCACTTGAAAAAATAATAAATAGAACATCTAAGAGCAAACATTACCCAATAGTAAGAGATGAATGACGAAAACATACCACTGGAAATGTCTGTTTTCTAATTCTTTGCATATCCCACTGTGAGCATTGTACCCCATTGTCTAGTCTCAGTGCCAAGACTGTTACACAAGCACTGCAGGCAATAGAGCAGCCACCATCCCTGACTGCAGGCTAGGTTGGGCTCTGTTCTAATTTTCCTGCTCCTTTGAGAGAATACATTTTCTATTTTTCCTCTTCTGAAAATAATTGTTTGGTGGCCTGTCCCAGAATATCTGAGTATTTTCTGTCCTCCTGCAGCAGCTACGCAGCACTATTTGGTTGTGACTCCACATTCCTTGGTAGTGTTCTGAAGCCAATGTTTTCCCCAGTGGTGAAGCTGCCCAGATTTTTAGATGCCTGTCTCTGTGTAACAAAGCAGTAGAAGCTCATCAACCTGTAAAAAATTGATGGTTATGATCTCCATATAGTTGTATCAGATTAGCTCTTTGCATAGACAGAAACATCCATTTCCATGCTCAGTCTAGTTTTGATAGATTTCTATTAAGTTTGCAGTGTAAACAGATTCTTTCATAAGTAGAAAGCTGGACACTGCAGAACAGCTTTCTTCTTTCTTTTGCTGTTCTTCAAAGAGCCTCCCTTAACTCTCAGTTGGAAGATGGATCAGTAACCTTTCTCATTAGGGACCAAGAGCATGTACTTGTGTGGTGAACTGCAGTTCTACGGTTTTGTCTCAATAGCTCACTGTGATTTTTTTTTTTTTTTTTTTAATGACTTGTAAAATTACTGATACGTTAGAAGCTCAACACTGAGATGATGCAGGTAATCTGGAGAGAGCATTTTAAGGAGATTGGTGAGAGTCTCTGTATTGGGTGTTCCAAGAGAACAACTGGTAATGAGCAAGGTAGACAGAGCTGACCTTTAACCGCGGCCTTAACATGGAGGTCTGTATTACTGAACTCACCAAACAACATAATTTTTATTGCAATAGCATTGTGTTCTGCTAAGTATGGGCCATAATATTACACAGCTGCTTATATATCTAGTGCTACAAAGCTTGTCATCTGCCTTTGTTGTATCTAGGTGAGATTTCTCCCAAGGCAACTAAAAAGTGTTAATAGCTATTAATTAAAATTATGTGTGGTTTACTCTAAGGCTTATATTCCTACTGTGTTTGCAGTGTGAATTACAGCCTGATTCTCTTTTTTGATTTTTCTAGGCATCCAGTCCAGCCTGTACAGAACTGGAAATGAATGTGATGGATTGGTTGGCTAAAATGCTGGGCCTTCCAGATAAATTCCTGCACCACCATCCTGACAGTGTGGGGGGAGGAGTATTACAGGTGGGGGAGATCAGAGGTGGCCTCATCAACATTTTGTTTTCACTCAAGTGAATTTCCTTCTGGGTGATAGTTTTCCTGGAGGCAAAACCAACAAGATTTGCTATATGGATCTGAATAAAGACAAATACCAATTTGCCTTTCCCATTACTTTCCCAAATTTTAGTATTAAATATATATTATTCTAGAATAGGAATTGCTATTGCTTTTAGTCCTAATTGTGTTACAGACGAGGAGCAGGCACTCTTGTGGCCTTACTAAGGATAAATGAGAGTCAGATTTGGTTTCTTCAGCCTGTTTTGCATCACCAAATTACTCACTAAAGTGATTGTTCCATAATTACAGAAGGAATCGTTGTCACTGTCCTCCTACCAGCAGTCCTTAGCCACACAAGAAATGATTTTTCCTTTTTCTCATGTCTACTTTGTGTCTCAGAGTTGCAAGGTCAAGGCCTTGAACCTTTACCTCCTTTCTTAAGGCCTAAGCAAGTATACCCTGCAATCAGTGCTGAGGCTTTGTGATGTTTAAACAGCTTTGCTCAGGTTTGTAATTTTTATGGGAGATGCTACATTTTAGTTGCAGAAGAACAAAAGGAAAATGTGATTTTATTTAGTCTCCCCAGCTCGGTTATGCACATTAAAAATATACAGCAGTTAAAAGGCTTTGTTTTGTGTTGCTGGGCCAGAGAGCTGCTGAGCAGCTAGTGACTTTCCACTGCATCCCAGAAAAGCGGTAGTAGAAATAAAAAGGGGTGGGCAGCTGGGCACTTCAACAACTTCATTAAATTCCAGACAAAATAGCAATATAGTAGCAATATGTTGCAGTAAATGAGCAATGTCTTTGCAGAGCACGGTGAGTGAATCAACCTTGGTTGCACTGCTAGCAGCAAGGAAGAACAAAATTCTGGAGATGAAGGTTTCTGAGCCAGACACTGATGAGTCCTCACTCAATTCTCGCCTCATCGCTTATGCATCTGATCAAGTATGTTCTTATGGTTACAAAGAAAACAAATTTGCCTCCGCTGTCTCACCTAGACCATATAATGTGAACTCAAATTTCTGTACTAAGACAAAAACAGTAACATGAATGCCTCACAAGCATGAACGAATCCCTGTAATGTCTCTTGCGGCAGATAGGGAAACGAAATCAGTGTGAGATGAGGTTTTGTAGAGTCCCAGGAGTCCTCAAGAGACCATTTCACATGACTCATTTCTGCGCTTCCTTCCTGTTTTTCACAAAGCCTTGTTGCAGTAACTAGGTGCGGATCTCATGCTGCTTCAGCTCTTGTTTCTTCACAGCTGCCTTCCACTTGGAGACAGGCACGCTCAGAGCATTACCTCAGTGCTGCTCCTGGTTGTGGTCTCCACTCTGGGCCTCTGTGCTTGTGTTCTTGGACGAAACATCTACACAGTACTGTGACTCTGCCTGCAAACCTGTTCTGTCCTCGGACTCCTGAACAATCATATTGCCCTATGAAAACTACAACAGGAGACATACTCATGCTGGTTCTTTCTTAGGATAACTAAAAGGGCTCTGTCTTGTGAGGGGTTTTGGCCTACCCAGAAGTAGGCACTCTTCAGGGGTTTTTATCTTCTTATGGCAGGGAGGACGGAATAAACTGAGGTTGATCCATTTCTAGAGGCTCGTTTAAGATCTGAGTTTTGATAAAAGGCCCTCCAAACACAAGGTGAAGATGCCTAATATTACATTTTAGAGACCAATACCCAAATAAATGGAGCATATGCATTCGTTGGAATTAGTGTATTATTTCTTTTAGTTACAAAGAAGGAACTTTCAGACTTGTATTAATATGGATTACAATAAGGACCTTATCTCTGCTTTCCTTGCAACCACTGTCTTTTATAAGGCCAGAACTTTTCACAGCTGTCCAGCCTCAGAGCTTGCTTTCTTACTGTTTTTCTTTTTTTAAAGGCACATTCTTCCGTAGAAAAGGCTGGCTTGATTTCTCTCGTGAAGATGAAATTTCTGCCTGTGGATGAGAACTTTTCCCTCAGAGGCGAAACCTTGAAGAAAGCAATTGCAGAAGACAGAAAGAAAGGGCTAGTGCCAGTCTTTGTATGTTCAACTTTCTGGTTGGGAGTATTGACATAGTGTTGTATTCTTAACGTCAACATAAAAGTACATCTGAAACATTTCTTATTGTGTTAAAATACATCAGATGAAGGTTAAAATGTATACAAGAATTTCTATTTCATTGAACAAAAATATCTTAATATCATTTCAACTGTCTATGATAGTCTCTCCACTTTTAAAGTGCTGCATCCATTTATTAAAAAAATGCCATCTTAACAGGTTTGTTTTCTCCTAGGTTTGTGCAACTTTGGGTACAACTGGTGTCTGTGCTTTTGACAATCTCTCAGAACTAGGTCCAATTTGTAAGTGTCTTTTTTTCCTGATTTTAAACTATGATAGCACAGAAAAGATAATATGAGAATTTTTTATGCCAAAACTAAGGAGAGTAGAAACACTAATCAGCAGAGTTTTTCAGATATGTTTCAAAGATCGGTGGTCAGTGCAAGACTTCGCAGTGATTTCTCTAAGATTTAGATTAGGATACTAAAATACATTCTATTCAAGATGAATGAAATTTTGGAGTTTTGAAGGTAGTGTTTGGTAGGACATCCTTTGTAGCCACCAGTTCAATAGGTAAATTTGACATGATTGCAGATTCTATTCCAGCATAAATTCTGACAAGAAGCTGCTGAAGACCTGCGGCACTTTCTCTTATGGGTCAGAGTGTGGCTTCTATCTCTGGGTCCTTTTTTGCTTGCCACCGTGTCTTTATTCTGGGTTTGTGCAACTGAGTTGTACTGGGGAATTTCACTTAGTAAAAAGGCAGGTAAGAGAAATCAAGTGTTAAGAAGCCTCACTCATATGAAAGCTTTAGAATAAAACAATTGTTGATTGTTTGTCTTACTCGCTATTTTGTTGTCAGCCTGTCTGCCTCCTGCAGAAACATGCACCTGGATTTCAGAAAGGAGAGATGAAGCATGTACTTTGATTCCTGAGGTCCCTTACATAACAACCATTTGAATTCCAACAGGTGATGCTGAGGGACTCTGGCTTCATATTGATGCAGCATATGCAGGAACAGCATTTGTATGTCCTGAATTTCGATTGTTCTTGGATGGAATTGAATATGCAGATTCCTTTACTTTTAACCCTTCTAAATGGATGATGGTTCATTTTGACTGCACTGGATTTTGGTGAGTAAAGGCAAAACACAACACCAAAAGGGTAACGTGCAAATTGCAGTCTTTCTCTGCACAATTTTTTGCTAAATACAGTTCATTCTACAATTCACAGGGTTAAGGATAAATCCAAGTTACATCAAACCTTCAGCGTTAACCCTGTCTACCTCAGACATCCCAACTCAGGAGCTGCTGTTGATTTCATGGTAAGTTATTTGAGTTGGTCTTTTAAATTGCTTAGAAAGTGTTCAGACAGACTGCGAAATTCCTCACACTCTGGAGTGTGCTTATCTCATAGCTGGTCTTATAACATCAAAGCATAAACCCAATTATGCTGAGATCCTAATGCAGATTAAATAATAAAACTTTGAAGTGAGCCCTGGTTATGAAAATTAATTATAAATTGCTTTCAGATATAGAGATTGAAGTACTTAAGATTTTTACACAGATGGGGATCCAGCCTTGCCTTTGTTATTTAGAAGGGTCTTTTCTGTGCATTGTGTTGCTGAAGTAATTCCTACTGATGGCATTTTGGCTGGTTTTCTTTCAATGGAAACACCATGCTCTGAAACAGCTGTAGAATGAATTAAATTTTTCTTCAGATTAAGGTATTCATAGGAGAGCCAAGAGGCATTTCACTTTAGATCTATCTTACAGCAGATTTCAGTACAGTAAAACAAAAGAATATTCACTGCCGATTGTTTCTTCTATGATCTCACCCTAGTCCTGAAAAGATAATTGTTTTCTTGAAATCAATAGTGCTTTTCACTAGAGAGTGTGAGGGTAGAGAGGGGCGGAAAAAAGGTCTATCAATGAGTCCCTCTTGTGGTTAAAGAGGACCCTGCATGTAATTGTGTAGCTCCCTAGAAGTATTCCCTTACATGTTTTGTCACTCTTTTCCATGCAGTAGGTGTTATTTCCTCTGGAAGGGTGTACCCCTCTATCAGCTCTCGCTGTTTATAGTTGATTTGGGAAAACGTTCAGGATGGCACTTAAATATGCAAATTACAGGAACTGAAGTGAGCACTCAGTCCTAAAGTGTAAATGTATAAATCTTAAATTGATAATGCTCTTTAAATGCAGAAAGGTGGTGTTATTAGCTGGTAACTAACTAAAAATTCTAAACATATCTAGGCCATAGATTAAGGGGAATAGCCAAAATGTTATTTTTGCAAATAATTGAAAAGTATGCAGACATAACGTTTCTTTGATGGCTGTTTCCTAGGCTTAGCAGATTTTCAGGAATAGGAAGTTATTTGTGTCAACAGAGATTTCTGACCTGAGTCTGAAGCAACAGACGTGGCAGCCTAAGGGGACACGCCTTTCTCTTGTTTTTGCACTCATCCATCCACTGTTGTGTTTTCACAGCACTGGCAAATTCCACTGAGTCGTCGATTTCGTTCTTTGAAGCTGTGGTTTGTGATCCGTTCATTTGGGGTGAAAAAGCTTCAAGCTCATGTCCGACATGTATGTGAATTACCAGTGCAAGCATAAATGTATTATGTTCATTTATTGGTAGCTGAGTTTAATAAATTCAGTGATGCAAAGATAAGTAACAGTAATCCTTTCACACACAAAGCTTGCATGTGAACACTAAATGCGTGCTGATTTTACTCTTGGGTAATCTGTAAAGATTGACTGTGTAGACAAAACATTTCCGGTACCCTTCTTGGAAGCAATAGGCAATGGAAAGCAACTCAGTAAGTCAATGCCTTCTGCATGTTACTGAGTACTAATCTGTAGAAGCTTTCTTTGAGGCAAAGTGGCAGCTGTTTGGGACGCAGGCTGTGATGGGTGGCTGAACCCATTGCTATGAAAATTTACAGGCTTAACTCTGGAGTGTAAATACAAGGGATCATACTGTGGATCAATGGTTGCTGCAAAAGGACTCTAATCTGAGAAGGCACATTCTGTTTTCAAACCTTCTAGAAAATCCTGGTGTATGGTCCAGTTACTCTTGTTCATTGTCAAGGGTTTGGGCAAATAGAGACAGACTTTAAAATTCTTAAGCTTTGTTGTTATTCTTCTGTTTGCTATCATTCATGCATAGGAATGATGCGGTTTAGTAAGGAAAGGAATCTTTTTAACTACCTGATTTAGTGTCTTATAGTGGGTTTGTGACAAACCAATACATAACTACTTTTTTTTTCCTTAATTATAGAGCACTGAAACAGCCAAATTCTTTGAATCCTTGGTTATAAGTGATCCACTCTTTGAAATTCCTGCCAAGAGACATCTCGGACTGGTTGTATTTCGCCTAAAGGTAAAGACTGGGCCTTTTGCATGTCTCTTTGGAATGAATTGACAACAGCTGATCTCTCCCCAGACATTAAGAACTGTGAATAAACTTTCATGTAAGAATTTGTAATGCTGGAATTCTTACAGAGGCGTTTGGATGTCACTGGAAAGTCTAACTATAGTATTTTTCTTTTCTTCTGTTTAAAACAGGGTCCCAACTGGCTGACAGAAAGACTCTTGAAAGAACTAAGCAGTTCTGGCAGGCTCTTCCTTATTCCAGCAACCATTTGTGACAAGTTCATCATTCGCTTTACCGTAACATCTCAGTTCACAACCAGGGAAGATATTCTGCAAGACTGGAACATCATTCAACAGACTGCAGCCCAAATCATTAGCCAGAATTATGGGTTGCACTGCATCAATTCTGGTGATGGGGCAAGAATTCCTGATATGATAGTTAAGCCTAGTTCTGATGCTATTAGTAATGCTTCTCAGCTTTATCTAGATGGAGGAAAATACCAAACACCTTCCAGAAAAATAGTAGTTCAGCCTAAGAAGTTAGCAGTGAGTCCCAGTACGTGCGTGATTAGTCAACAAGTGAAAGGTCAAGGGGATCCTCTAGATGACTGTTTTCCAGAAGATGTTACCAAACATAAGTTAACCTCTTTTTTATTCAGTTACTTATCTGTTCAAGGCAAGAAAAAGACAGCACGTTCCCTTAGTTGCAACAGTGTGCCAGTAACTGGTAGTCTTGAGCAATGTAACCCCAAAGCAGCAGCCACTGACAAGAAGGAGTCTCATGCAAATGCCAGAATTCTTTCCAGGCTGCCTGAAGAGGTGATGATGTTCAAAAAAAGGGCCTTCAAAAAATTAATTAAGTTCTACAGTGTACCAAGCTTTCCGGAGTGTAGCATTCAGTGTGGTCTTCAGCTGCCTTGTTGTCCTCTGCAAGCCATTGTTTAACAAATAAAAGAGACTGGTCCTTAAGACCTCTCCAGGTAGAAAGAGAACCAAAGTTTGCTTATTCATATGCAATACTACATGTTATTTTGTTCAATATGTAAGCAGTGGTGATGACCACTGAGAAAATTCTGTGCTTTTACTGGTGGAAACCTTGTGCATTTATAGATTAAAATGTCAAATAAATCTTGCAGGCATATAACATGAAATTCTGGTTTGTAGACTGGTAAAGAAAATGCCAATTTCTGCCTTATCAGTCCTGGTAATGGACAGTTTCCAGCTGGCGGGCTAGAACCATTTTGACAAAATATGGTAGCCTCAGTAGGGGTAAACAATTTAGGTCTCTAATTGCACCATTGATTTATTTTTTTTAATACCTTGACTTAAACTCTCTAGACCACTGCGAGGATCTGTGTGTGCAGACAATGCCAACATCAGTTCTGAACTGTGCAAAAAGAAGGGTGTAACCTCTCTAAGAGATTTTGCTGTACTAGAGCAATTTTAAAATTCCCCAAGTTTAAAAACACAGCAGCCCTGCCATTCCATCTGTGCTCATCAGTTGCAGTGCACAGGAGGCTTCATGCAACCAGGTTGCAAAAGCAGTTGCTCTTGCTAAGCACCTGCACCTGTGGCCTTTCTCAGCATTACCGAAGGTCTGTAAATCACAAGCGCATGGGGAAAGAGAGTAGGAATGGTATTTCACTTTCTCATAAGAGAAGAACTAAGGGGCATTACAGAAGAAAGGGTCTCTATACAGCAAACAAATTTATTGCTACAAGAGGCCAATGATTTACGTATTTTTTCAAGAATAATTAAAAAAACTGGGGGAGAAAAATCTAATGAGGGCACCTTTAAATTCAGAGATACTACTGTTGAGTCAGGAAGCATGGTGATTGCTAGGAGATTATTCTGGGAAAGCATTGCTAGACGCTTGCTGCCTCCTTCATAGTTGTTTTCCAGACACCTGCAAATACCTCATCTTGAAGACAGTGTACTTGGCCAGGTGGATCTTCAGTCTGACCCAGTATAACTATTCTTAAGTTATATAAATAATGGGTCTGGTTAATCAGAACAGTTTCCATACCTTTATACAACATCAGCTAAACTCACAGTGCCTCATATTGAGGCACATGTTACAAGGAGCAGTAAAATTTGGCCTGCTAACCCTTTCTAGTAAAAACAGATTTATTTTATTCCATTCTGTAAAATTGCCTTTTTTTAAATCCTAGGGAAATCTAAGCCACACTTTATTATGAAGTATCTGGCCTGCCTTTACTCTGTTTGTGCCCAAAGGAAAATATGTCTTAGTGCTTGGAAATTGTTCTCATTCTGTGTATGTATTATTTGGTTCATGAAAAATAAGAGGGCATCTCTGCTGCAATGGATAAAAGTTAATGTAAGCATCTAATACAGACTTTTTTTATTAGTCAATTTGAGACAACCATAAGTTTCATTAATGGTGTTTTTTAATGAGTTTTGTGTTTTGGCTTAGGGATGGAATTTTTACTAATGCAGTGAATCACCCTTTAATATAAATGTATTTGCATAAAGATGTTTTACATTGCACCCACTTTCACATCCTTAGGTGCACAGTATTAACATTCACAGCATTAACAATACATCCATACGCAGTAGGAAGGTAGGTAAGATTTAAAGTATGAAGGAGAGGAGAAGCCAGGCTAAGATAAAAGTAGAGTTGGAGAAGTTCTCCTTTATTAAAACAATCTTACATTCACACTTCATTTCAGATACTGATAGTTGCTAATATTAATAAATAGGAGTTCCTGGCAAGGTTAGAATAACAGATGCTTTAAAAACTATTATAAAACACAGATTTTTTTTTTTTTTCTGACATGCTCACAATTTGAACTCATGTTTTTTTACCGAGTTATAAATGTCCTGGGTCAGTTGTACATACAGGTTTTCTTTGTCATCCAGGAAATACAGGCGATCTTTGATGACTGCTGGATTGAAACCCTCCTCCACTAGTTGTACTTTACGGTACTTAAAAGTTGCTGTAAGTTCAATGGCACTCTACAAAACAAAATTACAACTCTACTTATCAATGTCAGCATATAATTGTGGGAATTAGATTAGCTTTCCTAAATTTAAAGGGAATCATATTTCAAGAAAATCCATAGAGCACAGAAGTTGAAGCCTTACTAATAGAGGTCTAAACCATCTGCATTCATCAGATAATAACTGGACTGTGGAATATGTGGGCCAGTAATTACTCTGAATGTAAGAACTGCTGGGGCCACAGAAACATTATTGAAAGGCTTACCTTACTATTCTATTTAAATAAGGCAGGAAAACACTAGTTTTCAGCTTTTAGTCAGAGAGAATCAAGGGGTTTATCCAGATAATTATTTAATTATGTTCTTGGATCAAAAAACAGCAGAGTTTTTCTCAGAAAAGAAGAGCAAAGAAAATGGCAGATGGTTACTGGGCAAGACTCGCTGTACTTTACATCAGATGGCAAGACAAACCACTGCCTTGACTGGTCAACTGTTTTGTTTGTACAACTCAAAAGTTTAAAGATTGATTAAATAATAAGGCATGCTAGTATCTCTGTTAGTCCTCTTGAATCACCTCAGTGAATGTGCAACCTTTCTCAAAGCAGCAATGTTTATTTTAAATAACTTGAAGTACAGTGAGAGTGACATTCTTGCAACATTTTCCTAATTCAAGTTAAACTGCAGTTTAGAATTTGGCTTTTATTCACTGGTAGGATAAAAATCTCAGTCCTCTGTAGCAAAATACAGCGCTCTGGCAAGCTTTTGTGTATGGCTCTTTCCCACAGAACAGTCGGTAGAGGGAGCTACACTAAACTGAGAACACAGCTGTGTTACTGTGTTAAAGGAATCCAACAGCAAAGGTATTTTCCACTACGAGATCTTTCTGATTTTGTATGTTAACACGTGCCAGGTATCTTGTAGCTGCTCATGCAACCTGTTGTTTTCAGGCTGAATTGAAGCATCTGGGTGCGGTTCTGCTTTAGTATCGGTAAATGACAAGAACAAGCGAGAGACAAAAGAAGCCTTTTTGAGAATTGCTAGTGTAACTAGGAAGTCCATGGTCCTTACAGAAAAAGAAAGAAAACACAATGCAGATGGACACACAAAAGCTACTTAGGAACACTGGTTTACCGTAATCCTTATAAAACGAGGTCTTGCGTAGTTTGGAAGGTGAGTGTTAACATGTCTGTAAGTAGTTTTTCCATTAAATTCACAGTTTTTCTTTAGTCGAACACATGCCATTCCTGTTCTGCCTTCATAACCTGAAGGAATAAGGACAGCAAGTAACTGTAGTTCGTATATAAATTTGAACCTAACCTCTCTTTCTCCTATAAGTGAGCTCTTCCTTCTAAGCCACTTTAGAAAACATGCTAACATATTTTCCTTTAGACATCTAAGTGATTAGATTTTCTTAAGTCTTCAGTATGCTAGATGCCAAACTCTTTCGAAAGCCCAGCATCAGAATTATAGATGGCAGCCATTTTGAAAATCATCCTTCTTCCAAAAGTCTTTGGAAAATCAGGTCTCAGTACTCTGAAGTCTGCCTGCAGTAGCATTTAACTGTGTGGGTTAATTTACTTTACAATAAATCATGGTAAATACGCTTGTACTTGTTGTGCTGACAAGCTTATCCATGCAGAAAGAGGACAGAAAGGACTAAGACCCAGTTTACCACTGTTTATTACCATATGAATGATTAAGCACTTGAAAAATTCAAGTATTTCACATTTTTTACTTGTTCAACTACGTACTGAGAGGGCTTCTTCCCTCCCCTTTTGGTGGCTAAGGGATTAGGATGGCATTTAAAAACAAACTTTTTTGGTGTTCCTTCTGTTTTCTGGGATTACAGGTAATGCAAGAAGAAATAGGTAATATTCTTATACAAAGTTTTACATTAAAACCATATGAATGCTTTCACAGAACTGTGTACAGGACAAAGTGAAAACAGAAAGTAGCATCTAATGCTTAAAAGAAAAGCAGAGCAGAAGCATATGCTAATTTAAGAGAAATTGTTCTTCAGTTTGAGTCTTGTTTCTGTTTGCCTTTAACACCATGTATTGATGACACCTGGCATTCCAATTTGTTTATTCAAAATCTAGAGTGTTGAATGAATGAGTTGTCAGGTGATGTATATTATCCCCCCCAGCTACATTACTAAAGTACAAATATTTTTGTGCCATGTAAAACAGAAAAAAAAAAAACCAAACCACAATCCACCCAGTTCTTTCACAAATGACAAATGTAAGGTGAGAATCGGTTTGAACAGTATTTTTTTTTTTCCATAAAGTTGTTCCATAATTAAGTATTAACACCTATGTGGTTTTACAAAAGCATTGAGAATAAGAGTGTATCTGCCTCATCTCCTAGAGTGTAATCTGAGAAATACATAAAGAATTCTAGACCATTTATGTTACCTTTCTTTTGAAATGTCTCCTAGTGAAGCTGTGTGTTTATCCCTACCACAAAGCAGCTGAAAACAAGAGTGATGTAGACAGAGAGGCTTTAATTTTAGATCAACAGGTATAGCAGAGACATACATGGTTAATAAAAGTTTACTTATTTGAATTAAATTCACTATTCTAATAGATCATCTTGGTTTATAAACAGCCTTGTTATTCTAGCCTCAGAAACACTGGGCATTTCTATTCTCATGTCTTCTACTTTCAGTAGAGGAAATAGCGAGTGGATCATAACATTAACAGAATCTCTCACATGTTGAATAAACAGGGGATGTAGGAATAGTGGGATCTCCTAACATGCCTTTCAATTCCAAAATACTAAATTGTCATTGATGTGACTCATGTTATGATACACCATAGTCTGGAAGCCTTTCTGGAAAAGTGTGATACTTGTTAATTAATATTGTTAATGAATTAATAATTAATCCAATATACCTGTTAGTATCTGTTAACTTAGTTGATAGAGGCTCCAAAATTCCTCCTCCTCCTTAGACTACAGTATGCACTGTATTATGCCACCTAGTCCAAACCATTTGGGCAATGCAATACGTGGGATTCCAGTCAAATCTAACTTTGTTTGATTTCAGATCCCTACATTACACTGTAAGAATGGGTTCTATTTTAACTGTCCATCAGAACCCAAATACAGTGAGGAGCTAGATGGGAGTCCTGCAGCTCTTGGCTAAGTGAGAAACATGGATAGAAAGGTACCTCCAAAATACAGAGGA